GCGCCGCCGCGCCCACGGCCGTGCTCCTGCCCCGCGCGAGGCGCTGGGGACGCCTCTCCTCACACGCCCGGCGGGAGCTGCGACGACTGCGGGATGCCGCTCGTCCCCGAGGGCCGCTCGGGGCGAGCCTCCCCGGACAGGCCGCCCTCCCTCCCTCGGCGCCCAACCTGCTCCAGGGTGAGAAGAAGGAACTCCTGGGACAGCAGTTCCGGGTGCAGCAGCAGCTCTGAGTCTGTGCAGCTGCGTCCGCCCACGTCCCCCGCCATGGTCGTCGCCAGGAGACCCCGGCCAGCTACCCACAAGGCTCCGCGAAGAAAGCGTCCCGGAAGTGACGTATCTAACGGCGCAAGTGTGTGTCGTCACTCAGCTGCGCCGCGCGTCCCGCCACGCCTTCCGTGGGCGGCGCCCGCCGGCTGATGACAAATCAAAGGAAAGAGACGGACAAATGAATGGCGCGTCAAGCCTCGCGGGAAGAGGGCAGAGCGAAGTTCACCGTGCGGCCACCATAGGGCGCGTCTCCTGTGACGTCTGATGGCGGAGGCCCCAGGGACCCTCGGGCTCGCGGCCTGCGGGGAGCGCACACTGGTGACCCTAGGTGGGGCGCTGGTCACGTCGGCAGCCGGCTTGCTTTCTCTTCTGAAGTCGTCTTTTTAACCCCCGACGTGTATAACGCAAGTCCAGTACGACCAGAGACTACTTCATTAATTCCCCCTTAGCAGCGCCACTTCGTAAGCACTCAACTACCAGGTGCCTGAAATGCCGGAAGTAACCAGCTCCGGAGTGAAGTGAGGACGGCTGAGGAGCGCCGGGAGCGACAGCCGGACCACTGTTAGCTTTTCTGTCTGACCCGGCTTAGCTCATGCCTCACCGCCGCACGAGGTACATATGCTAGAGTGCTGCTCAGATGAAGAAGCTGAGGCGCAGGGAGGATAATTTGCTCAAAATCACAGAATGACGAAAAGCAAGACTAAAAGTCGAGTAACTGTCTCGATACAGTAATTGCAATAAGAGTTTTGTCACTGGACAGGGTCCGAGGAGGGCCCAAACCGAGATATAAATCTAACCTAGCTTACCTGTAGAATGTTTGCAGGTTGGCTGACACCTCTCTGGGAAAAAGAATTTTCAAGACAGGTCAGAAAGAAGCATGGTGATTTTTTTAGGAGGTTAAATGGTGAACATTGCAACCTCGTGCAGGTCCTTGGGAGAGAATGATCCTTATTTTTCTGAAGCTGGAAACATTTATGCTTTTGTAGGGGCTAGGAGCGAAATAGCCCACCTCCAGGAGGGGGCTGGCCCATATTACAGATATAAGCCCAGCTGTTTTTGTTGTTACTTTGTTTTACTTTTTAAATGGATAATTTAAGCATTCTTTCAGTTCTCTCAATCTGTTCCCATTTTATGATGAGGGTCCTGCTCCTTCCTCTCTCTCTCAGTGAGGCCAGTCCATCGACTCTCAGTGTTCCTGAGAGATTTGGATGCGCTGTGAGGAGTGTGGAAGGAAAGGAGCCTAAATTTAACCGGGCTAATTCTGATATGGATCACCTCGTGACTTGAATGGGTTAAAGAAATTGCAGTCTTAAAAATGCAATTTTTTGGTTATGATTTCTTTTCTAGGTTTTGTTTCTTCAATCCCACTCAGTTATTAGTTTAAAGAGGTTGTGGTAGGTGTAACTGTGGTCCGATTTCCAGTAATTAGTAGACTAGAAATTCTGCTGCCTCTCTTTGATTGCTCTTGGGAGAGCCACATGTCCTCAAGGCTTTGTGGATGTTGCAGATACCTTCTGAGTCTTTACCTTCTGCCTCTTTAGCATATCATGCTACTGGAAATTACTGCATTGTCTGCAAAGGTGTGAAGAATGCCAGCGATGCCAGAAGATAAACCTTGATGAATAATGGAAAATAAGTGAGATGCCAAATCAAAAAGAGAACTAAATCCAAGAGATGTTTCTATGTGTAGAAACTGAACTTCAGAGCTGGGAGGGAACTTAAAAGTTGGTCATAAAAAAATACAAACCAAACCGGAGCTAACCAGTTGCGTTTTTTCATTTTAGCATAGAGGAGGCAGATCTGAAAGAGATTCAGTGATGTACCCCAAATTGATCAGTCTTAAAAACTGATCATAGTGTCCAAGCTTGATGTGGTTTAGCTTTGTGTATTAACATCAGACATTCCATGTCCCAAAATATGACCATATGTTGTGTCTCCATCGGGAAGCTCCTTGATTTAGTGGCAAAAGCAGCTGCCCTGGGAGGATCCTGGCTTGAAAGCAGACCTCATTTCCAATTGTGTTCTACTTCACAGAGTCATTGGATAAATTAATCACTCAGCTTTAGTCTTCAGAATAGTGCTTTACTAGTACTTTCTGTGAAGACTGAATGATCGGAGAGGGGATTATGTAACAGTTGTATAGAGTGGGTGCTTGAGAACCTGCACTTGGTTCTGCACAGTATCTGTCTAGAAGGGTTTAGTAATAGGCAGCCTAGAGACCAGGAGGAAGGGCTGGCTTTAGAGTGGCCCACCTTTCGCTCACCCGGAGCAAACCCTTCTGCTCACCTTGCCCCAGCGCCCTCTGCTATAAGATGGAAATCAATGTCAGCAAGGGTGGGAGCTGAAGTTTGTCAAATGCCTCTCCTTTTGTGTTTCCTGGAAATGTGTTTGGACCTTTGGTTGTCATTAAAGGTAGCAGCAGTAGAATGGCAGTGTAAGAGGCAAATTAATAGTTTGAAGGCATGGTTACAAGTCTTTGTGTACTCTTTTTCCCTGGGTTTTTCTGGACCAGTCACATAACCTGAGGCCTCAGACTTCATTGGAGGAAATGTTTTGTGGCAGGTAAGAGCTGTCCTTTTTTCTCACCACTACAAGTATTTCTTTGTCTAAAGCTACTGATGCTATTCTATGTACCTCTGAAGCAAGAACCTCAGGATAGAAGGAATTGTTATTTGAGGTTAAAACAAAACAATCAAGATTCAGAGTCTGGCTGTCTCTCGCCTCCAAAGGAGGGAGGAACAGTAATGTTCTGCCTTGCTGGCTGGAGTGGAGCCTTGGAGGGTTTGCAGTGTCGTAACTGTGTCTTTCTCCGAGCTCCTGATCTAGGAAGTCAATGAGGAGACCCTGGTCCTTGCATTTTAAAAAGTTCTGGGTGACACTTGAAGTTGACCCACGTAGCAGAGCTACCTCATCAATTTCAGCCATGTCTCACGGCCAGGACGTCACACACAGCCAGAAACCAGAAACCAAAATCCAAACACCAGAGTAGATAAAGAACATCAGGGGATTCCTGTGGATCAGGGCTCCTGGGACTGAGGCTCATCCCTGAGGGATGAAAGGGACTCCTGTCAACAGAATTGTCACTGCAAGGAATGGGACCTTACTGCACATCTGAGTTGGTAGGCAGGTTTATTCCTGCATGGTATTGTCTGCCATAGTTGTAAAGGAATCAGAGGGTGCTCTCCATTCTAAGCTAAATATGATCAGAATTTACTCTTCACTCAAAGATGGAGAGGTTTAGACCAGGCATGGTAGTGCACACTTGTAACCCCAGCACTTGGGAGGATCACTGTAAGTTCAAGACCAGCCTGGGCTCCAAGGTGAGCTCAAGGCCAGCCTGAACTGCATAGTGAGACCCTGTCTCAAAAAGACAAAAAAAAGGATGCAGAGAGTTCACTCCCTAATATTGTTTGCTTGGTGGCCATGCTTGAGAAAAATAGAGCTAAGGGGAACCAGCCAACATTGCAGGTCCTGGTGTCACCTCACTGGGGAAGAGTTCCTTAGGGCAGGCTCCCTGCATTTCCCTGGAGTTGCCCACTGGTTCCCTAGTAGGCATGTACTTATAGGTGCTCAGGAGTGAGCATGTCATGAACGAAGGCCTTTGTGTGCCATCCTTTCATTGGTAGTGTTGTGTAAGATACCGTGTTGAAAATAATTACTGTTGGCTAAAGTATACCTGAGCTTAAAATGCTCCAGCGCGCTCTTAGGTGTGTTTTACATTACCACTCTCCATTGAAGTCTGTGAGGTGTGGTGTGCAGGACCCTGTGTTGGGTGCGGGCTTTGGTGTGCTGTGTTGGATCCTAAAATGAAAAAGTGGAAATGTGGATTCTCGGCCCAGTGGCCCTGGGTGAGTTGGTGACAAGTCACACACTCTGGGGATCTGGTTGCAAACCTGAGCTGGCTTTGCCTGGTGCCTGCTTGGGAGTGTGACAGTGCTTCCTTGAGGTCCTCTGAAGCCTATCTCCACTGAAGAAGGTAGGGGACAGGCAGCACAAAGAGGAACTTGGCGGCTCCTTGGCCCTGTTTTTGCAATTGAAGAGGGCATTGTGGAGTTGATGTCCACTCGAGGCTGGGGTCATCAGTGTTAGGGGAACGAGGTCTTGGTGAAGCACAGGGGCTGAGGGAAAGCGAGGGCACAGTCAGTAGGGCAGGTGGGCACAGAAACTGGGGCTTGGCCCACTGGCCTCCTGCACCTGCAGTCCTGGGGGCGCTTCTCACACTCCCATCCTGAAAATCAGACCTTGGCCAGGCCCTGAGGTGCGCTCAGACTCTGGAATCTTGGTTTCTTGTGGACAGACCTGGAGCAGGAACAGCCTGCGCGGAATACACACAAACGGGGGTGACGCCCGCAGAAGCCCCGCTGCTGGTGTCCGCTCGGTGCGGCCGCTCCGGACCTCCCCATCCCCATTCCGCGTGGCCTAGAGGAGCGCGGGCCCAACCTTGTCAGCGCGGTCCGCCCTACCCTGCCGGGGACTGGCGAGCGCCGCCCTCGCGGGGCCGGACCAGCACGTGACGGGAAGCGGCGGCGGCGAGAGCCGGGCCGAGCCGAGCGGGAACCCGGCCGGACCGGGCCAGGCCACGGCGGCCAGTCGAGGGTGCAGTGCGCGCGGCAGGTGCGGGCTGAGGCGGGGCGCGCGGCGGGGCCCAGGCTGGGGCGGCGGGGACTAGCGCCCGAGCACAGCCCGCTCGGCCTCTGCTGTGTCCGCCGAGGTGCGCGCACCACTGGCTTCCCAGGCGGGCGCGGGGTTGCAGAGCCGAGCTTCGGGTGCCCTCGGCCCGGATGGTGCCCTGCGCCGCGGGCCAGGCCGGGCAGGGGCGAGGAGGGAGGAGCGAGAGCCCGGCGGATTGTCCCCAGCTTCAGGTCAGGGCGAGCGGAGGGGCAGGTGGAGGGCACTGCGCTCCCGCTGAGCAGCATGGCTGTGCCTTGCGAGATTCGGTGCCCAGGGCTCTGCACCTGCTGTTGACCTGCTCGTTAGGGGATCCCCAGGACGCGCTATGCGCTGCCCGGATGCTGGAAGTGGGGTTCACTAAGTGCTTCCTCCTGCGGAGAGGCAGCGCTGGCTGCTGCGGCCCGAGAGGGGTTGATTCCAAGGAGGTGCTCGGCCCGCACCGCACCCAAAGGCGGAGGCTGGCAGCGGTGGGCGGGCAAGACATGGCCAGTGACGCCAGGAAGGTGTGCGCGGAGCACCGGGCTGAAGGAAGCTGGCTTTCCCGGCTGGTGTACCGTGCAGCAGCAGGGAGGACCCGCCTCTCGCTCGGGCGGGCCGCAGAGCTGCTCACGGCAGAGGTCGCACACGCCCCGGCTGGCTGCTTTCCTCTCTTTTCGTTTGGTTTCTGGCTGCCTCGCACACCAGTGGTTGTCTCTGAGGCTTCTCTGGTGTGTAGGGAAGAGCAGTGGGGCAGCCGAAAGGGCCCCTGGTCACCCTGGTCTTTTCCAGGCCCTGCCTCACCAGTGGAATAGGAGCGCTGACCCCGGTCTTGGTGCCTGCAGGGCTTGGGTTCAAATCCCAGCTGTGCCCCAGGGCACATGGCTCGGGGTTCTGAGTTTCCTCCATTAGCGACTGATTGCAGAAGGTAGGTGGTTCCTGGCACTTAGCAGGGGCACCATGAATTGTTAATAACTGTGGGTGCGGCTGTAGGACGTGTCCCTCCCCTACTCCTAGGACCTGTGACAGCTTCTCTGGAGGTGGACCTTTGGGGTCTCCCCGCACTGCAAGGCCCGTGTTTTCAGCGCCACAGTCAGAGGCCTGGGTCCTCAGGCTCCTTCCTGCCCCTCCTCTCACCTTTCGAGCAGCCTGCTCACCCCCTTGCGGGCAGAGCACGGGCTGGGAATGGGTGCAGCCTGGCCTGGGCCCCCAGAAGCAGATCTCTGAGGGGCTCCTCTTCAGTTAGCCACTCCAGATGAGACGTTGTAAAATGCAAGGCGCTTGCTTTTTGAAGAATGCCTATTTTCTAGGCCTGATTTCCAGCCGGCATCCTGTTAGGAGAAAAAGGAAGTTATTTTAGCTTATTCTGCATGTTAGTATTAAAAAATTAAGATCCTTTAAGCAAGCTCGAGGAAACTTTATTTAATGGGTGAAGCGTCTTGGTCTTGGTCAGGATCCAGCCTCATTAGAAGTACATTACAGTGATCGCTGGTGGCAGCCAGGTGTTTGGACTGAGCTCGCGTCTCGACTCCTTGGTGGCAAACCTTGGCCCATTTTTCCATATTAAAAAATAAATACTAAGTGAATGTTGAAGTAACAGCTTAAATTGGGGCTGTCCCAAAGGACGTTGAGTTCTCAATCTCAGTCTGCACGGTGGTTTGGGAAATCTTCTGGGTGAGGTGAGGGCAGTCTTTTCTCTACCCTCAAGTGGCTGCTGTTGGGTGAATCAGACTCGAGAGAGAGTGTGTTGGGGGGTCCCACCTGGCGTCTCACGGTGCTCTTTGCAGCTGTCTGGATGTTCAGTGTAGAAGACAGGCTAGGAGGTGATGCCTAAGAGACCCCTTCCCCTCTCTGCTCCTCTTCCACCATCCCTCTTACCCGAAAGCTAACTGACTCTGGTTTTCACTGCTGATGTTTCTCTACATATGCCTGTGTAAACACACACACAGTATGCATGTGTGGAAGCCCGCGCGTGGAAGCATGGTGTGTGGCGCACATTGCACATGTGTGTGCATTTGTGTGCAGGAGGTCCTTTTTGCCCGTGGGCACTGGTTCCAGGAGCCCTGCAGATGCCCAGATCCTTGGATGCGCAAGGCCTGCACACGTGGTCGCGCAGCGTTTGTGCCGAGCCCACCATGCCCTCCTGTGTGTTCTCAGTCATCTCTAGATGTTTACGGTACCTGACACAGTGGAAGTGGTAGCCAGTAGCTGTTAGATTGTGTTCTTTGGAGCAGCAACAGTAAGTGTGTGTGTTTAGTGCAGATACAATGTCCGTCCAGTATTTGGGGTCTGTGGCTGGCTGAGTCCATAGGTGTGGGGTGGACGGGTAAGGAGGAAAGGCTGCAGAGGTTTGCGCTGCATTTAAGTGACTTTGCTGGGTATTGCCTGGGAAAAGAGGTATTGCTGGCGACTGCTACACAGAAGCACACCTGAGATGGGCACGGAGGTAGCAAGTTAAGCAGCAGACCCGACCTTTTCCTTCTTTATAGGTGGTCTTTTTGAGACAGAGTCTCATTATGCAGCTCAGGCTGGCCTCCAACTCACAGCAGTCCTCCTGCCTCAGCCTCCCAAATGCTGGGGTTACAGGCGTGTGCCACCGCACCTGCCAGACCTGATCTATCTTGTCCTTCTTGCCCGCCTGCCTCCCTCCCTTTCTTCACCTTCCAGGTCCTTGAACCAAGTCCGCTGTACTGTAACTGACCTTTAGGTGTTTTTATCAGGCATAGTAGTAAAGAACTGCTTGAATTTTGAAAAAGAGGCAAAGTTGTCCTTTGTAGAAGCCCAAACCTACGTTGAGGCCCAGCACTTGGCAGGGGTGACTCCTTGGACAGCTGGCGGTGGGAACCTGAGGACGGTGTTGAGCTGGCCGGGGTCCGGGTAGCACCTGTGCACAGCAGGCGTGCAGCGCCCTCTCT